TTTGCCTTCATAATTAAAATGTTTATAACCAAGTTTTGGGCTTTATTTAAGTGGCTTTCATAGTTATATTTAGACCAAAGCGGTTATATAGCTATTGATTGTCACGATTTTATTGCCCACTAATGGTTTGGTTATATTTTCCTAAGCTACTCTTTCATAAGGCCTTTCTTGGGCATAACATAAAGTTTTTGGACATTCTTAAGGAAGGCTATAAGAAATATTTAAGACCCTTTTGGGATTAATTTGAGACTAAATTTAATAGCTCTATTATTAAATTAAGTTAATTTAACGCTTCGACAATTAAGTATAAGTTGATCCTAAGGTGAATTTATTCTCCGATAAGTTAATAATCCTTTGCTAGAGACTTGATAAGTTTTATATGATTGGTTTTGTGGCTTGTGGCTGTATTATGACCAATGTTGTTTATAGTGAATTGTTATTTAATTAATCTTAAGTTGCAGTCTCAAGCATTTGCCTCCATGGTCACTAAGTTGCTTCTCTTTAATCAAAATGGAACCAACGGGAAGTTTTGGTTAGAGAGCAGATGTCTCTAATTAAGATGGAACCAACGAGAAATCTTGGTTGGAGACATGAGACTTGGCACAAAGATACTTTCTGCCCAATAGTGATTGTATTCGTGTGTCATCTCTCTTAAGTATAATTTCTGTTTTAAGTACTTTTTTCCTTTTAATTGTATTGTTGACATGTTATTGATCTGATCAACGTAGGATTAATACCATGTTGAACTCTTAATTTAGTTCTTTTGTATTTAAGATTATGTGTATCTATTGTTAAGCGCAACCATAAGTTTGAGTTGCTTTATATGTACCCTAACAAAGCATAAAGTAAGATTATTGTCTTAAGCTTAAGTACAAAGATTATGCACATAATTAAGACCTTATTAGAAAAATTTAAGTTCTTATCATAAAAGGTTTCATGATGGTAAGGATTAGGGGGAGCAATTCCTGTGATCAATTGCTTTAAGTTTGAGTATTAACAATAAGCTTATAAGAAATGTGCATAGAAAGGATTAAGATAATATATAGTTAAAAGTAACCTCATGAAGTGGATTTTTATTGACTTCGAAATGTGACATGGTTTTTTGTTTCACATTTCGAGGAGAAAATGGTAATTTTGCCATTATCAAAGTTGGGTTTTGCTCATTTGCCATCCCGCAAAAGAGATTCGCTGTAATGCCATTATCAAACTGGGTCACCTATTGAAATGCCCTTTGGCTGATTTCTTCCAAAATTTAATCACTTTTTTATTCCCATCAAATTTGCATTCCTGTTTTACCCTTTATCCCTTTGTTTCTTTCTTTCCCATTCACGCATGAACCAGAGACGACGGCACAGAAAGGCAGCTCGCCCACCGCCGGCACAACTCCAGGCGGCCACCGCGCCCACCCCAACACTCGCCCACCGCCGCGATCAGCACTACGCCAACCCACCGCGGCCGCAGCAGCCCGCCTCCCCGCACTCTCTCATTCCTGCAAGCCCTAGGGAGCCGCCACCGGAGCCAGCTCATCGGACTGGAAACGACGAATTTGGTCGCATCAATGCCGCCTAGTCATCCCCCAACCCTACCGGAAGTTGCAGGTTGTCGGCGCCGTGGACGTCGACTCGCCGTCGTAGAGCAGCAGCCGAAGGGAAGACGTCTCGGGGCTATTGCAGAGCAGCGGTCGCGCGGTTGGCTAGCTGTTGCCAGCCGCGGAGGTGCGCTGGCATCGACCGGGGTGCCGGGGCAGCTAGCCGGCTTCAGGTGGCCATGGAGGTGGGCTGGCATCGGCGGCTAGCGGCGGCGACAAACGAGCGGCCTTCGGTCCCGTGCGTGAGTGCGTGACCAATGCCAGGAAGAGATGGACGAAAGGGATAAGGGATCGGTTTCAGCAGGGATATAACGGGAATGCAAATTTGATGGGAATTAAAAATGATTAAATTTTTGAAGAAATCAACCAAAGGGCATTTGAGCATGTGTACCCAGTTTGATAATGGCATTGTAGCGAATCCCTTTTACGAGATGGCAAACGAGCGAAAGCCAAGTTTGATGATGGCAAAATTGCCATTTTCTCCTTTTCAAGGGGGAGCGATGTAGAAGTTTTACATTAATCCACTCCATTAAGTGATTTATTAAGTTTAATTTAATAAGAATGACAAAGTTAAGTCAATAAGTTAATCTCTTTTAGCACCCATTCAGTTTTTCAAGATTATAAGACATTCCTGATGGAGTCGTTATGGGTCCACATAACCTAAAGTGATTCTAAAGGGAAAAGGTAATAAGTTCTCCATAATAAGGTAAGAAAATCATAAGTGGCTTTTGTTTGACTTTTCATTTCATGATTACAATAACATAAACAGAGGTACAAAGTTAATTGTTTTATCTTGTTTGACCATAAGTAAAGCAATAGAGATATTACATAAGTTTATCTTGGTAATGTTTCTTATACTTATTTAGATACTAAGATTCACCAAGATGGGTCCATAAAAGGGAGTATTTGAAATTATTTCATAAGTTGAAAGATTAGTCATACTCCAATATAAGGGCGATAAGCTTTTCTCATTACAAATACGCTGACATAAGCATTACATATAAGTATTATAATTAAGTCATAAGTATTATAAGTAAGCCAGAAGTTTTATGACTAAGTTATTACACGCCCTTAAAGGTTATGACCCGGATTCTTGGCAAACATAGTCCAGGAATGGACCCTTGGAAAGATTTAAAAGTACTTGCTTCATCCATATAAAGTAATACATGCTCACGAATAAGAAGTCTAGTAACGACTAAGTCATAGGTTGCTATGACATTAATCTTCTTTTGCAAGATGTATTGATATTAAGAAATCCACATTAATATTTATCAACACTCTTGTCAGGGGGAGCCATGTTGTGGAATGGCTTCAACCTATCTTTAAAGTATAGCTTCTAATATAAAACTAAGCTATAGCATGTTTAATTAATATAAGTTAAGTTTATCTTAGTTTATTAAGAATAAAGTTATTACTATAAGTTACTTTTAGCATAAGATATTCATCCCGGAATATGTTGTATATAAGATGTGCAGTTTTCTTTTGGTTCGAGTAACATGTCAAGTGGTTTTTGCCAAACCAAAGAGAGTGTGAAAGACCAACCCAGAATAAGTTAATTATGTAAGTTTAAGATGTTGGTGCTCACTAAGTAAGTTTAAAGTTTTAAGTGTTGAGCACCATATTCAATTTAAGTTTTCCCACTATAGGCCTACCTTAAGTTGCCAGCATTAAGTTTATTGGTAGCCTACCATATGGGATAAGACTGTGATCTCAAAATTGTGATTCTGGAAGTATAAATAATTCTTTATATGTGCACAAAAGTATAAGTGAAAACAAACTGCACAATAGGACCATAAAGAGGCCATCATAAGACTAAGAATGAACTATTCTGAAATATTAATGGTGTGCTATAGTGATTGGATTCATCAGTACTTAATTGACTGTTGCAATCAGTTTATCTTGATTGTTCTGTTTAAGGTAGAGTGGTCTACTATAGATGCTTGATCTAATGGTGCTTAATTGCCTGTTTTGATTTTTCATCTTTGTATACTATTCTATCGAGAATATGACTAATAATAAAATTACTAAGCCATTCGATCATGGGGGAGAATGTTGGAATGATCTCGACTTAGTCTGAGTCATTAGGGACTAATGACCCACTAACGATCCATGACCGATGGACCCAATCGAAATCCCTAATCTCCTCAGTTCTAGGTGTTCTAGAGTGGAGCTAGGCATTTAGTTCCTGTGATTAACCCTAAGTAAATTCTAACACTAAACTATAGCGGAACTATCTCGGCTCTGGTGGCATCGACAACCTAACAAATAAACTAGAACAAGGGAAGTACAGCAACCCGGATTATCTAACTCTTGAGGACCGTGTGGAACAGGTCATGTACAGAAGACTTAGCTAGCTTGCGATTAAAAGAAAAGATATACAGAAGATTTTGACATGTTGCCATCATGTCGACATTCCGCGTCATCTAACATGAGGTCCGTAGACCTTCTCTCATGCATTCTGATCTTACTACACCAGGTATATGGTCGTTGCTCATGGTTTATTGCTAACATGTGGAATGTAGTGGCATCATGCACACACGCGTATCTAGTGGCCTGCTATCTACTACTCAACTTAGCCTATGGCGCCACAAGCCCACAGTCCTCGTTGGAGGTGTCATCGTGAGGTCCCTTGCCTCCTAGGGATTGGTTGGAAAACCTCGTTTCTCTGTTTGGCGTGCGGCATTTGTGAATGTCGTTTCCTTCCTTGGAGGCATTGCAGATGAGAACTCCCCCAAATCCCTCAAGCTCTTTGCTTGTTTTCTACGGTGTGCTTGGTGGAATCTACCTGTAGATGCTTTGGTAGTTTAGCGGGTTGTTTTGCTGTGGTATAGTCAACCTATCGCTTCTACCATGAGTGATATGAGTTTTTTGGGTGTATATTGTTGTATATGTTGCTCTTCCTCTCTATTAATATATGCCCAGCGATTCTCTCATCTGTGTTTTTTCGAAAAACTACTCAACTTAGCCATTTCGTATAGTTTCCTTTTCTTCTACTCATTCCTATCCGGAAGCTCTCTCGCAACAGAGACAACAGCTGCATGCTTTCACGTTGGTACAGATACTCCTATATCAAGCACGCCAGCATTTTGCTTTATTAAGCGGATTTGATCGAGCCAACTGTTGGCATCTATATTTTTTTTATCATAAAAGGCTAATAACAACTGCAACTGTTGGCAATCTGCCTTTCATCTTTCGCATTCCTCAACAACATTGTTCATAGTTTTGCCGCTTAGGAGGATAATCGACACTTTTAATTATTATTACATGGATTTACTTTTTTTTATTTACATACACACAACAAATGATAAACTGTCATGTCATGATCGCACAACAAGTCCAAAGACCCTTCTTCTTCTTCTTCTTCTTCTTCTTAAAAAAAGACATTGAAGAAGTACGCGCTGTACTTGGATGTTCATGCCCATATAGCAAGCATAGACATCAGGGCTATCCCTACAAGCAGCGAGATGTTGATGATGACCTGCAGCCTTCCATTGTTCTGCACCCTAGGGTTCATGAAGTCTTGGGCTAGAAGGTCGACAAGGGCCATATAGTTCAGGATTCCCGCGGCTGCAGCATCGAGCACTCCTTCGATGATCAGGGCCTTAGGGCTATTCTCGTTGTAAGCAGAGGAGATCCCAATGCCGATCACGACTCCAATCGGCGTGGTAAGTGAGAAGAATAGCGTCATCATCAGCACTGATTTTAGACGGAATTTGGCCTGTTCAAACCAATTAAGCAATAATTTCATCATCAATGATCAGTGAGCGAGCTTAGAAATTTGCCACTCCGTTGATGGCATCTTCAGTAATGTTACATACTCCGTATTGTTCCACTGATATCCGGGGCCACGTACGTGTCAATTGGATAAGGTACATAAAGATTTAAAAATGACATTGGATGCAGATAATGGGATTTCAACAAACGCACTCAAAACAATAGAACTCTACTCTTTCAAAAAAAAAACTCTAAACGTTTCAATACGTACGGTTAGGAGCTGTTTGGATTGGCAGTCTTTCATGGGAACATTTCGGTACTTATAGCTAGCTCCAATTTGGACTCATTGTCGGTTTAACTTTCCAATGAAATAACGCTAGTAATCTACACATCACAAATATGTTATAGTTTGAGGTTGTAATATATTAAATAATTGAAACATCAGATGGATATTGCTTTTTTATATGCAAATGTTCGGATAATTGAAAATTAAAGCATGTTTATCAAGGAACCATAAAGTTTCTATATCCAAAAACAGTAGCAATAATTATTTTTTAGACCATGTAGATATATCCAAAACGTCACTTATTTGTGCCGTTGTGTAACCAGAAGGAGTATGTACTTCACCTTTAACATGATTAATTACACCATTTTAAAAAAAATGTTTACACCTATTATCGCTATGTCGCAATTAAAATCCTCTTCACTAACCATTCATTGTATATCGAAAATAACTTGATTACAGTACAACAATGTTAGCATTACATGTATGAGATTTCAAATAAGTAGGGTTGGAAACAATTGGAGATCTAATTTGAGATTATAAAATAAATAAGATAAGTAAATTTCACTGACGTTCTCGCTTAAATTGTTTATCGACTGGTATTTCTACATTCTTTGACTTTGTGTGTGTGCGCTAGCGAATTTTAGGATTAGGTTTTCAATTGGAAATTGTGTTGATTATGGCCAATATAATATTGGGGATAGGTAGACGCGCTAGCCAAATCAATGGCAAGCATGGTAACTACCAGAGTCAACTTGAAAGGCGATGAAGAGTCCTGGTGATTGGCCATCAGACGAACATAGGACCGATCTGTAACTATATAGCGGGCTAAGGCATTTAGTGATTACTCTTCTCAAACAGCTATTAGCAGGCTAAATCGGACTATAGTGGCTAAATTGTATACAGAAGCAAATAGCTTTACCCTAAGCAAACAGCTATACATAGAGAGAGATAGCGGCAGGTATAGCGAGAGATTTAGAACCATGACTTGATATGTCATAATTTATGATGGCAGGCTCAAGAACATACCTGAACAATGCACCCACCAAGCCCTAATCCTTCAAAGAACTGGTGAAACGTCAACGCGGCCACCAGTGGTCTGATCGTGCTGGGACTCTCAGATGCGCCTATAGACATCCCGATGATCACCGAGTGCACTATGATCCCCAGCTCCAGCACCTTGAAGCATTAATTCAATGGAAATACAACGTAATTAACAACACATGAGGAAATTAGCACACGTGAATAGTGACCAAGTATGTATATAATCTCCGATCCAATGCTATTTGTAGTAGGAGAAGCAGTAGTTTGTTTGACGCACGCACTGCTCGATCGAGAGTTCGAGACCTGAGACTACCTGAGAGATGACGCGATGGCGTATGAGCTGCCCGCTGTCGTCGCCGTTGGACGTCGCCGCCGCCGCAACCACAGACGACATGCCGTGCGCATGGCCGTGGTCATTCTGCCCACGCCCACCGTGCGCGTGGCCGCCCGAAGTCTCCACGTCCCCGACGACCGCCGCGGTCTTGGCCGCCTGCGCGCGCTGGAAGTAGCCCGTCGCGATGGTGTCGACGACAAGCGTGGCGATGGCGGCCAGCATAGCGATGAGGCCCGTGAACGGGAACTTTTGCCACGGCCCGTCGACGAGGCAAGGCGAGCCGAGCTTGTCGAAGGCGTCCGGGAGGATGTGCACGAAGGCCGTGGCCAGGATGACCCCCGCGGCGAAGGCCTTGATGGCGAAGAAGAGGTCGGTGTCCGGGCGGAGAGCCGGGAACCTCCGGCCGAGAGATGGGATCGCGCAGCCGACGGAGCTCGCGACGAGGATGCAGAAGATGGCGACGATCTTGAGCGTCAACGCCCTCGACTTGTCATTTTCTTCATCGGCGGAGGCCTCACAGTCGCAGTCGGCGATGGCGAGCAGCGGGAGCGAGGCGACGACCAGGAGGCAGCACAAGGCAGCAGCAAGCTTGGGATGGGCAGCCATCTTTTAGTCCAAGGCCAAGATAGGAATGCTAGGCCGTATACAAGTACTTCTATATGAAGTGCTTGCTTAAACTTGATCAATGATGTATTATGAAAAATCAAACGAGAAGTCAATGTGAACATGCATAATACTATAAAATTTAGCGCGCTTCGATTCGCGACGCCCTACCAGAGCATCTGGGAACACAACATATGAACAGAAAATGATACTATGACAGTTTACAATACATTGGGCCGTAGCGCCTGTTTCTATCTATTCATTTCAACATATGACTACATATGTACAAGTCATCTCATTGCTAGATAAACTTTCCAATCATGTTACGGCCGGCTAGTACAAATGATTCGGTCTATCTGTTCTTGAATATATAGGCATGTCCCAAATACTCTTAAGAGAACATATGACATAAGCTAAGAAGAATGTGCAGTCAACACAAAAAATATAGAGACGAGATCACACACATAAAAAGGTTCAATTATTGTTGAGCACTCATAAACAAATGAAAGAAAAACATTTGATAGAACGAAATTATTTTTTTTGTGAGCATAATATGAAGTGCTGGGAATGCTGGCCGTATACAAAGTAATTTTATATGAAGTGCTTTTGATAAAACTTGATCAAGGATGTATTAAGAAAATCAAACCACAAGTCAATGTGAGCATAATAATAGTAGCACAGAAAAATTCTTGAGAATCGATAATGCTGCATTGAATTATTGATTCAAGATTTGTTGTTATACAAAAACTGTGCTAGAAAAGTTATTGGGAATTTGGTGTTTCTACCCCTATTTCAAGCTGCAATGGTGATTTTACTCCTACTTTTCTAAACTTTGTGATTTTGTCATCGTGATTTTGAAACGAAGCTCCTGTTTACCCGTCTTGTGATACCCTTAGGTCTAAGCTGATTAAATGGCAAAAAAAGAAAACAAATAATACCGACGCGAAAAGCAGAATGCCCTCACCTTATCATTTCTCCTAGCTCTCTCACCAGTGTCTTCTCAATTCTTTGACACAGGGAGGCTAGGGTTAGCAAGTCATGCCCTGCTAGCGCGCGCGGCCAGCCCTTGGTGGGCGCGAGGCGGCCAGGGGCCTCGGGGGGAGGCGTCCAGGTGCTCGGTCTCGGCTGCAGGTGCTCGCCCTCGGCTGCAGGTCCTCGGTCTCAGGCGGCTGGCGGCTCCGGCGTGGGCTTCTCAGAATCTCCTACTCTACTGTTCTTCTTCCTCCTATGTTCCCATTGGCTGATTTGGCACTAGATCTGGTTGGTCTAACACTGATTGGATGCTGTTACAATATAGTGCTAATGCTACTTGTGATATTAATTTGTGTTTATATAGATTTTTAGCTAAAATGCTTTTAGATTTGTTCTGAAATTTGTCAAGTTTTGCACTGGTCTAAAAATAGGGGTAAAAATATAAATAGCAAAATAAAACAGGGCAAAGTCACAAAGGCAAACTTGTCCTTTTATCTAAAAGTTAGCTGTTAAGTCTTGTCAACAGAATATCGTCGGCAGTCCTCCGAGGGATATCCCACGAAGATAGATTAATCGACAGAGGAGTGTGAGATCAAGAACAAGAAGGCAATAGAGACACACGAGTTAGACAAGTTCAGGACATCAGTATGATGTAATACCCTACTCCTGTGGTCTGTTGGATTGTATTAGCTATCGTATGATATTGCGTGAGTTTGGAGGGGGTCCCTGCCCGCCTTATATAGTCCGGGGAGCAGGGTTATAAGTCGATTAAATCTGAGAGATAACCGGAAAGTAATAACTGATTATAGGAATCTTAGGATCATACATATCCTAACAGATCTCGTAGTATATTCAGGATATCTTTCAGATGTCTTGCGGGAGGCGACGAGCAGAGTCGTGCCCCACAAGGCTTCGTCTTGTGAACTGGGTCGCCCCTGAGGGCGCATCCCATGTGGTCTGTCGTGGGTATCCGGGGTCATACCCCCCATAGCTAGTCCCCGAGCACCTTGTACCCGTTGTGCAACGCTGTCTTGAGCTTGTCCGAGCAGGTGCGAACGAAGCCAAGTAGTCGAACTCATGGTCCGACCATCGTGATGAGTTGTCGAGCAGTTGTGAGCAGTTGCCGAGCAGCGTGTACTGTCACCGAGTAGCACGAACCGTAGCCGAGCAGCATAACCCAAGCACGGCTTGCCATAAGGGTGTAAGGAGCTCAAGTTCAGAATCAAAAATTTCTTCGCAGTGGACAAGTGTGCCCACTTAGAGTCCGACCACAAGAAAAGGAGATAGTCTTCTTCAGCTTCAAGAGGCGCGGAGTCTTCCAGAATAAAGCAAGCACATTCATCATGAGGTGAAGTGTGCCCACTTAGTCCTTGAGCCTGACAGTAGATGACGTAGTCATATGGTGCCAGGATCCAAAGTAGAAGAATAGTATAAGACCAGCCGAGCAGGCAGCCAGTCCTCGAGCGTAGCCCTGAAATGAGAGAGAGCACATTCACTGCAAGGTGAAGTGTGCCCACTTAGTCCCCAAGCCTAACAGTAGGTGGCGCAGTCACGTGGTGCCAGGGTCAGAAACAGAAAAATAGTAAAAAGACCAGCCGAACAGGTAGCTAGTCCCCGAGTCGTTTACGGAGATATCTGAAAAACCCAACCGTGGAGAAAAAACCAGAGTAATGGTTGTATAGTAACTATTACTGACCCTCAATAAATGGCGGAGAAGTCGGCGATTATTTGGCGAGTGATAACCAACGGCGGCGATAAATGAGCGACGTGGGCTGCGGTTGCGTGAAAGCCCAGGTTACGGCCCATTAAGCCGCATCGGAGAATTCAGAGGGGCGCAAATCGTGGGAATAGTTTCCCAAAGACCCTCGAATGCGAAAGGGTGGGGAAAGTGCTTTATAACTATGCCGCCGCATCCCGTGTTCATACCTTTGCCACTTTGCCACTCCGTCTTCATCCTCAGCCCTCACATTTCTAGATTCGCATCCATGCACGCTCCCAACGTCAGTCCCCATCCAGATCTGAGAGATGGTGCCGAAGAGGAGAGCTATGAACCCGAAGAAGGTGAGCCCAAACAAGGCAGGTGCCAGAGCCAGTCGTGACAAAGAGTGGGTACCATCGCTTACGGGGGAAGCGGAGCTCGAGAGATTGGTGGAGGCGGGCGTGCTTACTGACCACGTCACCGCCGGATGGCGGCCAGCAGGTGGTGAGCCCTTCTCGATGCCTAACACCGATGAAGTTGTAGTCTTTGAGGATTATTTCTGGCGTGGGTTGGGGTTCCCTGTTCATCCTTTCCTGCGGGATCTACTGGAGTTCTAGATGATTAGTCTGTGTAATCTCCACCCCAACACCATATTACACATCTCGATCTTTATTCATTTCTATGAGATGTTTCTGGGGGTTCTGCCGCACTTCAACCTCTTCAGACACCTATTCTGGTTGAAGAAGAAGGGCGGCGGTGGTTCTAAGGTGGTCGGCGGCGTATATCTACAGCTCCGAGATGGGATGGCCAGCGAGTACATTAATGTACCACTGAACACTTCTTTGAAGGGGTGGAACTCCAAGTGGTTCTACATGAAACAGAGTCACCCTGCAATCTGCTACGACGTCCACCATATCCTGGAGAACCAGAAAAGCTGGTCGGAGAAATCAAACAGTGCTGACATGGAACAAGTAAGGGAGCTCCTCGACCTGATTAAAGGCGTGGATATTAGCGACGAACCAGTGGCGGCGAGCTTCATAGTGCGCCACGTCCAGCCCGGCAAGGAGAGGGCCCACCCAAGCTTTGACTATAGAAGTGATGACGACGAGACTCGGGAGAGGACGGAGAGGCTGATGAAAAAAATTGTCCTAGAGTAGGCCGTAGAGCTATTCGCTCCCAACGCCTTGTTCAGCTGGCAAAGGCAAACGAGGGCCTTCAATTGTACAAATCCGCCTCCTCAAGTAACCATCTCGATTGTTTTTTCCCGATACTTTTAATCCTAAAGCATTGCCGAGCAGTGAACTGATTCACTTATGCAAAGATCCATTCGCATGAAAGAGCAGTGTACTTCTCCGGCGTGCCGAGGGGTGATTGGCCGAGGGGTGTAGACACCTAGCCACCGGCTCGGCCTGAGGAAGATGCGGCCAGTGCTTCGTCAGAGTCTGGAGGCACCAACACTGGTCGGACGGAGAGTTCACCCCCGGTATCGGAGAAAGTCTGGGGGAAGAGGGCAGCGGCAGATGAGCTGGCCTAGAAGAAGAGAAAGATGGCGGCCGCCGGTCCCCTCAAACTGGGTGGCATCTCGCTTGGTGGCGATTAGACCACTCGAACACGAAGGACCACGGTGCTCGAGTGGTCAGATGACGACGAAACTTCAATGGCTTCTCCACTGTCGACAAAATATCATCGGCAGTCCTCCGAGAGGTATCCCATGAAGGTAGATTGATTGGCAGAGGAGCGTGAGATCAAGAACAAGAAGGCAATAGAGACACACGAGTTAGATAGGTTCAGGCCGCCAGTACGACGTAATACCCTACTCCTATAGTCTGTTGGTTTGTATTAGCTATCGTATGATATTGCGTGATTTTGGAGGGGGTCCCTGCCTGCCTTATATAATCCGGGGGGCAGGGTTACAAGTCGGTTAGATCTGAGAGATAACCAGAAAATAATAACAGATTACAAAAATCATAGGATCATACGTATCCTAATAGATCTCGTAGTATCTTCAGGATATCTTCCCTATGTCTTACGGGAGGCGCCGAGCAGAATCGTGCCCCGCAAGGCTTTGTCTTGTGGGCTGGGCCTCCCCTAGGGGCAAGCCCATGTGGTCTGCCATGGGTATCCAGTGTCGTACCCCCCATAGCTAGTCCCCGAGCGCCTTGTACCCATTGTGCAATGCTGTCTTGAGCTTGTCCGAGCAAGTACGAACCAAAGCCGAGCAGTCCAACTCATGGTCCGGCCACCGTGATGAGTCACTGAGCAGTTGCTGAGCAGCGTGCACCATCACTGAGCAGCGTGAACCGCAGTCGAGCAGCATATCCCAAGTACGGCT